AAAGCCGTTAACGTCAAAACTACCGACTGAAATTCCAGTGAATTAATCGGGTATCAAATGCGATCGTTGACGCAAAATATCTGTGGAGCGTTAATCACAAAGCATCAGTCTCTTTAAAAGAGTGCCAGCATTTTCTTTTATTTCTATTGGTTATCTTTTTATAGATTTGTCAAGTTCCACTATCGAAAAATTCGCGTAACGTGTTGCGTCAGAGGCCGCCAGAGAAAGGTATTTGAAATAAAAAAATTCCCAGACATGCTTTTGGTCTTTATCTATCAGTTAATGTTCTACCCAAATTTCACAGCAAACCGTTGATTCATTTAAAGTGGAAGGATTCTCTAGGCTCGATTTCCGCCGCTCTCTAGTGTCTGGTCTGCGTCCCTCGCCTTCGGGGTAGGAGCGCGGGCTCCTTTCCCGAACAGCGGCTGGTGATCGAACCTAAGGATTCTCTCGAAAAACAAGTACGAGTTTTCGCATTCTTAAGATTTATAAACGTGTCACGCCTTCCCATAGGGGGGATACGTCAACTCAAAAAGCCGCTAGCCAATGAGATAACAACCCCTACCATTCACAGTATGTAAACTGGAGGCTATAATGTTACAGTCACCTTTTAGGCCCACACGGTTTAGACTGGTGGTCAACAATCATGGGCAAAACGGAAGGAAAGCGATGTGCACCAAAACAAAAACAATTGCCGAAGCGTGAAGCGTGCAGGCTTGGCCCTCTTTACAAGGAGGTAGGGTAATCCTAGCACTCCCACAAGTCTTATAATTTCTTTTCTTTTTTTGTTTTTTATGGACGCGTTTACAAGGCAGGTCGGGTTACCATTAGGCCTACCCTACCTGCCTTGTAAACGTTCTGCTAAGGTCACCTCGCCTATCCGGCCAGGACAACTTTATTCGGGGCTCCAAGAAACAACATATGATAAAATACCAGCAAAACAAACATATTAATTCGTATTATCTCACATTTATTTTCTAGTTTTGCTTTTGATTGAAAATGTTTCGATTCGTCGCACCTATTGCAAAATTGTTTATGATAATTATTTTTGCTGACAAATTCATCCCACACTAAGGCAAAATAACTGTCTGGGATTTCAACTGAGCTTAGAAATTGAAACGATTTCAGTGGGCTGATAAACCCCGTAATTCAAGTAAAAATAGGTCTTGACAATATAATCACTATCAGTTGCGTGTGTTATTTACCAGGTTAACTAAAGCGTGACCGGCTAGGTCTCGGGTAGTAGGGTAAACCCTACCTAGCCTGCTGAACAGGCGGGTTTTCGACTCGCGCTTCGCGTAAGTGGTCACGCTCCGCGATCGTGAATCGCCTTTCGCTTTCTGCCTCACTAATCCACTAGACCGTTCCAAGCTCTCGGTCATAGGGGACGATCGAAAAAGCGGGCGCGGGACGAGCGGGGTCTGGTAAAACAAACAAACAAACAAACAATTAAAGGAGGGGGCGTCCTCTCTTCCTCTACCAGACCCCGCTCGTCGCTTGTCGCCCAGTCGCATTTTTGATCGTCCCCATTGACCGAGAGCCTGGAACGGCTAGTGGATTGTTCTGGAAGCTAACCTTACCTGAAACATTTTGCTTGTGAATGCAGGTTATCTTTGACCCTGCTAGGGTCAACTCTAGTTGCTTGTAACTAGTGCCTTAGAAAGCTTTAGATCTCCTTGAGCGTCCACCCACTGATTCACATGAAGCTACACAATGTAATTTCGCATCGAACAGCATCAAACAAGGTATAACTGGCTGTAGGCTGCTGAGATTATTTGAGCCACGATGAGATCTCAACATGTTGCCTCTAGCTTTACACCTCAGTATTTTCCTGATTTGGGGGTGTCAGCCAGATTCCTGGTGCAAAACGTTTCCTTTTAATGAAAGAGAGATTCCGATTAGCGGAAAATGTGCTCGCCTCTCTCCATCTGGTTTTTTCTAAAGTGCTCACCGCTTGCAAGACAAATTTGATCACTGTTCGTGCTCGCAAAAATAAACGTACTGCTCGCATGCAAATGTTTGCAAAGACTATTCGATCGATACCCCTATGTACGCATCAAGCCCAAATTATTATTATATACTAAGAGTAATTTTTGAAAATTTTTGGATCCTTAACTTGGAAATTTCGTATCTCCGCGCGCGCGCATGTAATTTGCTCTGTATATGTTGATGCAACTGCAGTGTGTATTNCCATGGTAAAAAATATTTCAACACTAGAATATAATAGAAATTTCGTATCTCCGCGCGCGCGCATGTAATTTGCTCTGTATATGTTGATGCAACTGCAGTGTGTATTGTAAGATGCTAACCGAGTTTCTTCCTGCCTGTTCTATGCTTACGGGTCGTTCCAGGATCGAACCTTACGAGAAATGGTGTCGTTTTATTCACTCGCCGTTCTGATCGCCATAGTAAATTTCATTTGCGCTGCTTGCCAAGGTTCGGAACACCTGGAACAGGCAAAGTTTTTTTCTCATTAATTTTATGACTCGAGCGAGAAAGGCACAGGCCGAAGAGATGTTTTTTTCGATTACCATAAGTCAAATTTGCCGCAAACGGTTAAGTGATTCCTTGCCATTATATAATCTGATGAAAAAAGATAACATACAAACAATTTTCCCTCCATGAGAAATACCCATAATAGGCGTGGAGAGGGTAAATGGTTATCTACTTACTTATACTTTCTGCTGTTTACAAAAAGAAAGGGAACAGAATCGAGTGAGTATTTGTCGACTTCCGTCAATTCATGGATTATTTATGGCCATATTTTAAATAGTTACAAGGCAGGTCGGGTTACCATTAGGCCTACCCTACCTGCCTTGTAAACGCACTGCTCGCATGCAAATGCTCGCAAAGACTATTCGATACCCCTAACACTGTACGCATCGAGTCCGAATTATTATTATAACCCAAGAGTAATTTTGAAAATTTTTGGTTCCTTAACTTGGCTGAAAAAGTACTCGTGGCTGATGTACAAAAAAGACCCCAATTGCGTGTTTTGTGAAATCTGTACGAAAGTTTAAACGTCTAACGGAATGCGCAAAGAGTCCGAGTGCAGAAATTTTCAAAATACTACGCTCTTTTGACATGCTGGTCGCCAAGAACACTAAATGGCGAACTATTTATCCACGAGGGTATGGGATTTTTTTATGGGTCTCGGACCCAAACTATTGGACCTGGGACTCGTAGTTTGCTGGCTGTGTGAGTACCAGGACTCGCTACAGTCTTTGTCTAGATGGATCGATGTTCCAGTTTGGCCCGAGGTCGAGTGTGCAAGGTTTACTGCCAAGTTGTTTTGTAGAGTTTATGTGCATGACTTTAAGGTCTTAAGTTGGGAGAGTGAAGAAAAACAATATCATATTTAGACGCTTATGTATTACTGCTAAGAAATAAAACTACGACGTAAATAAAACCATAAGTTCATACACAGAATGTGAGCGATTGCCATTAACTGCAACGTAAGATGATGAATCAGTTGACACATCAAAACTTTGGAGGAAGAAATGCCGTGAATAGCTGCTCAAAGTTTCAGCTTTACTAAGTAAATCCTGTTCATGAAAAGATCTCATGGGTAGCATTCACCCTCCACCATTGTACGTCCGCGGCTTAGAGGCCTCAGGGAAAAACTTTTGAGACACTTAAGGGACCACTAAAGGATTTTTTTAGATATTTACTGAAAATTTACTGGTTTACCTCATTTTGTATGGCTCTGTGATTCTTGTTAACTATCGTGGAAATCAGTTTGTGAGTCGCTGCCATGTCGAACAGGATTTGACGATTTTTCTAGCTGTGACAGAATTGACAAGGTTAAAAAGGAAGAAGAGAGCATTATAAAAGAGAATAGGGAGCGAGAAGCTGGCGGAAGACCGCCATTAGGGACTCCTCTAGCCACGGAAAAAGCTAGTATTATCCCGTGAGTGACCATTGGTCAGGTTTATTTCTTTCTTGTTCCCTTCTCAACGTTGATTACGAGAAAATCAGCCCACACGCTTGACAAAATGTGACGAGGCGTGAAGACATTGGGGCTAATGGGTACAGAAACTACGTCATCGTAGGTAAACAAACGGGGACTCCCCTGCAAAGACCTCAGCTTTGCTTTTTCCGCTTTGCATTAAGTAGCAATGGCGTCCGTGTACGCACAAGAAGAGAATTCCTTAAGTCCTTACAGAAAGCTACTCGTCGATTTCTCGTTTGATCTTTCGAAAAAAGACGTCGAGACGTTAAAACTCGCGGGCGTCGATGTCATTCCATGCAGAATAACAGAAAACATTGCCACTGGGTTGCAGTTCTTCGATGTTCTGGAGCAAGATGGTAGAATTGGACCGCGAAATCTAAACCTTCTGCAGGATATGCTTAAAACAGTTGGCAGGCTGGATCTTGCTTGGAAAATTCAGGCTTTTTTATCAACATCCCCGAACAGTGGTACTGACGGTAGGATATAGAGTTTGAATATCACTTCAATCAAGCGAAAGACCAAGATTTTATGAAACGCTGTTTCCGTAATTTGATTTGGTGTCTCTTTTTGTAGGTTGAGTCTCACATTCAAAACTGTGGCAGTGTATTAACTTATAAAATTAGGAGGAGACTTTGAATTTCAGATTTCAATGATCGCCGAGAGCTTGAACCTAACGGAAATTAAACACCCACCGCTTAAGTGTAAGTAGTCACCACGACTAGCTTTCTTAGTAAAGGAATTTTCAGTCCAATGATCAATATTTAATACTCGATGAGCTAAAATCGCATCTCGGTGCTTCTTGGTATTTTAATAACATTTACGCGTTCTTGAAGCTGCAGTTACATATATGTGAGATGTGTTGAAGACGTAAATCCATCATATTACTTTTCATCTAATGCGTATCCATTCGCCAGACCGGCGTGTTTTAAAATATGTACGTA